CTACAGTATACGCCATTTGGCCGCAATGTTAAAACCAGTGGCGGCTGAAGTACATACATAACTAATATGCAATTTAATGCACCAAATAGTATATGAGAAATTAATCAAAAGGACATAAGTTTGTTTAAATTAGCTTTTGTTTATCTTTGGTTAAAATTTACTTTCCCATGTAATTTGTTGATTTTTTTAAAACTATTTTGTAATGTTGTTGTTAAAGCTGACCTCATGACAAACTTTGAATATCATTCTTCATTTGCATAATGAAGCAGAAATATAAAAGAAAAAAAAAATTATTTATGTCCAAGTACATACAAAGTTAAATTTATAAATAGAGAATTAAATAGAAAAAGTAGATACACAAGTGTCTACATATGTTCAAAGGTAAATAAATACGCAGTCATTTTACAGATCAAACAAATTAAAGATTACTTTTATTCCTAACAATATATTGTTTTTGCTGCATTTTATGGAATTTGTTTATTTTGTAGTTTTTGACCACTTTGGTGCTACACACTACCACCCATCCAAACATTACTGCAGATCAAGCACACAACTCCATGGCAATGGCACTCCCCAGTGTCAACAGAACTCCCAGCATGGCAATGTCTCCCACTTTAATAGCTCATCTGGTTGATTTCAAAAGAAAACCTTGCTGCAGCCTGTCCAGTCCTCCTCACTGTCTCCTTACTGTCTACTGCCTCATCACGACAAGGAAAAGACAAGAGGGTGTATCATTGATATACACAGCCACCTCTGAAATCTGTACCCCTCACTGTCCTAGCTAAAAAAAAAAAACCTGCCTAACAACACAGTACAAGGTACTGACCCCGACTTCCATGCTCTTCCTTCTCTGTGCCTGTTCGGGATATGCTGCAACAAGCCTGATCCACAAAGGCCCCACCCTACAAGGACCAAAGCTGTCCATGTCCCCTAGAATAAAGAGCTGTAGTGTGGGCATGAGGGAGGCCTAAATGATATCAGGAAGGTGGGTTTCAATGTTGCGGTTAAACAGTCAAAGCCAGCTCGGGAAATTGAATTCCAGAACAAATCCAGGTCTCGTGTCCACATTTAAACGGGCAAGTCAGCTAAGTTACAGCAACATAAAGCAATGACACCAGCCTTGCCTGAAGCAAAGCGCTTTGTAACTGTGGTTACAAATTAAGGATAATACCCCACAGAGCTCACAGAGCTTTCAAACATCTTCCCTTGACAAACCAGCGTGGAGAGAAAAAAGACGGAAAGCTAGCTGTGGCAGGAATAAAAAACAAAACACTAAAAGTTAAGCGCACACACCCTCAGCAGATCAGAGCCAAAGTGGAGTATCACAAATACAACTATTACTGTTGTCTTTTTTTGACTCCAACAGCCATCTGTGCATCTGTACAGCAACTTCGCACAACACTCCCTTTAAACTGGAGTCTTATCACGTAAATATGAGCAATAGGAATTTCACAAGTAGTTGCATGGGGGATGAGGGGAGGAGGGGGCTTGGGGAAGTGTAACTTTTGACTGCAGTGAGTCATACAGGGAAGCTGATGGAGCAGACTCTGCTGCCTCACAGGGATAAGGCAAAGCCAAGAGGGTGTGGCAATAATACAGACAGCCACCTTTGTTTGAACTAGGACTGGCTCAGTTTAACCAGAAGGCCATTCACATCTAATGCCTGACCTGTTGGTTTCACATGGCACGACTGCTCAGCTGGCAGCAAGCAAGGTTAAGATCGGGCTGCAAATGGTTTAGTCACCATAGGAAGAGGAAACATAATAGACCAACAAGCTCATTCTCCTTTAGAGAGAGGAGGAGCGCTTTGGATCTGTTCCAGTCTTCTTTCAAAAACCAGAAAGTTGTTTACAGTAACAGCCAGTTTGGAAAATAACAGTTTTCACACTTACAGCTATTCTGTTGCTAAATAGCAAGTGTTTAGCAGTGAGAAAACTGGTGTTACTGTTCAGCACCTGCAGGCATCTGTCAGGGCGTTGGCTGTCTTCTTTGGGCATTATCAAACAAAGAAGAGTGCTGCTAAGACTTAAGCTGCCTTGCCTGAACTAGAACTCTGCATATTCATGCAAACAGTTGATGTGCAAGAAACGCTGCTGCTGTGATGGATGATGTGGCCACTATAAGAGACAAACTGGAAATACTTAATTCCTACAGCTCAAGGCGGTTTTCACAACTGAAACCAGGGACAGCCAGTGAAATGAGACACGTTTTATGGGCCGAGGGAATCTCGAGGAAACCATTCACCATACACCCACCATAAAGGAAGCGACCTCCTCTTTTGGTTTAGACTCAATAGAAACATTTTTGAATACATAATGGCTTCAAATGTCTAGCAGAACTTTCAATCCAGGACCTGGAGCATGAACACAAATGTCATTGATGCAATCTTTTGAGCTGAAAGATGACATCTTTGTGGTCCTTCTGTTTGCTCCAAAAAGGGTACGGTTTCAGGAAACTGTCATACAAATAAACACAATAACGCCGCAAGGCAATAATGACACAAATGAACCAAAATGCTATGAGGTTAAAGGCGGTTACAGATGGTCCGTGCACGTATGCGTGCATGTGTGTGCGAGAAAGAGAGACAGATCTGTGGAAGGAAATGCAACTTGGCATGCTGCAAGGCCGCTGTAGCCATGCAGCAGCTTGTCGGGTAAGAACAGCAGCTGCATTCCTGAGAGATTTATAATTACCGACTGAGGAACTCTTCTTTCCAATCCTGCTTTCATCCCCCGCCCCCCAGCATCAAACACACACACCTCCTCACCCCCTCCACCTATTCCCCTTTTTTTCACCCCATGCAGTGGCCTTCTAGGAGACAGCGCCATGAAAGAAAAATGGATAATGGCTGGCGCATGGAAGTCATTCTGAGATAACATTATAATGTGTGGTTGTGTGCGCTGGCCCAGATTGTTGTTCCCTGTCTTTATGCAATATTTTAACTTCTATGGGAACAGGGCAGATTGCAAATGGAGGTACTGTAGGTGGGCAACAGCAAAGTGATATCTATTAAATGATAATCTTAACTAAAGGTAAGGTGTGAATGGCAGTGCTTACCTTTTTCAATGCAAAAGCTGGATTTAAAGAGAAAAAAAAAGTCTGTTGGAAAGTTGGCGAGTTGCAACAAAGTCTTGTTTGCTTTGCCTCCAGGGGTTGCCTGGGGGTCTAAGTCTGGACTGCAGTCTCTGCAGAGTTTAAAGACCTCTGGACTGACAGGTCAGACGCAGATAAAAAGAAACTGCTGTGCAGCAGCAGTGACCAGCTCACAGAAAAGGCAAACACAGCTGGACAGCGAGGTTTAAAAATACATCCTGGCATCTTTGTGTCTTCGCTCAGCCCAAGTCAAAACAATATCCTTTCAGTTTGAAGCTCACTCTGTCTGACAGTTGCTTGGCTCTGGCAAGTGTGGGAATAAAAACACTTGAAAGAGCTTGGAGCACAACTTATGTGAAGCCTCAGAAAGACACTAAAGTAAACAACCTCAGTCCCAAATTGAGTAAATCATGATGACTTGGATGGCCGGCTAACAGCCACTGATTGGATTTTTCATCTCTTGATAAGGGCTCATTGATTAACTTAATCATCAGTTAATCTCTCTGATTAATGGCCTGCTTTCTTCCACGCATCAGTCAGGCGTTTCCGTTCTCTGCAGGCCTGCATGACACACAGAAATCAGTCACTCTGTGATCACACACACTCGTGCGCATTTTGTGTCTTGCAACATTCGATTGCTCCTCTTGTTGCCGTTGTTGACCGGCAGCTCTCCCCTTTCCTCCACTGATCTCAGTCACGTGTGAACCACAGCACACAGCTGAACAGCTGCACCTACCTGTCTGCTTACCCAAGATCCGAGTGCACTTACACCCCTTAGCTCCCAGTGTAATCTTCATCCCAGCCCTCTCCTCACATCTCACAACCTTGCCTTTTGTCATCTCATCTCTGCCTTAACGTCTGCTCCCCTCCCCAAATCTCGGGTTTCTACCGGGTTCCGCCATGCATCCAAAAGTGCTTACACAACGCACCTGTAATGGGTACAAGCCCAAGCATGGCAGGCTGGCCAAGAAGGAGCACCAGTATGTGACACACCCTTTTTAAACAAATGGCTCAGTCTCAGCCTCACCTTTTAGAAAGGTATAACAGCTAAACCTGCAGCTAAAAAAAAAAAACAACCCAAACAACTGAAAGTGCTGATTGGTTTTTCAGAGAAGTTTTGATTATTGGAAGCTCATTCCAGACCAAAGTCCAGCAGATGCTGCTGCAGCAGACAGCCAAAAGGGGGAAAGGCAGGGGGGAGTCCTAAGGTGGTCGTGTTATCTCCCTCGGGTTAATCAGCAAGCAGTGGGTTATCAAGTGCGTGTTAACTGCCATTTATTAAAAGAAGTGTCAGGGGACTATGCCGTAAAAAGTGTGCTACTGGATCAGTGACTGGACCCAACACAATACCCTTCATTGTCACGAGCTCCATGGCTAAGAGAAGCACTACAGGTCTTAGATTACCTCTGTATAGGATCCCTTAGCTGAGAAGCAACTCTCCCACACCTTGTTTTCCACACATGCCTATACTTAACCTCTAGCCATGGAATTGCAATTTGAACCAAACTTTATTTGAACAGACTTGAGACTCCCTGGTTCTGACATGCATGGACTGTTTTTCTTTACTTCTGGGCTAAAATTACCGTACTTATGTTGCCCATAATTAAAAACCTACATTAGGAAGAAAAAAAATCATGCTGATATAACAGCTTCACTTCTAAACCTACTTTCTTCACGCCTTCAAAAGCCAGTCAATCATATTGATCCTTATCTGTTTTTTTTTTTTCCTATGCAGGAATATTAAACGCTTTCTCCTAAAATTCACGCCACAGCTCAGTTTCGAGGGACTTTCCCAGCAGGAATTCCAACAAAAAATAAATAAATAAATAAAAATAATGCCAACACAATAAGGTAGCCATTAATCTCTCGCTTAAGTTCGACAGATAAAAAAGAAGTGTCAGACGTACCGTAACGAAACTTTAAAGACTGGTTTAGCCGCTCTCCATTTGAAGCGTCGCCCTGCTTCGCCCTCGCTCTCCAACTCCAAACTTTCAGCGCCCGAAGGAAAACTCCAGGTGAAGCATTTCCGTGAAAAGTTAAACTTCAGGAAACAACTGCAGCCTGGATGTGTTTGCACGCCCGGCTTCAGCCCTCGCGTTTAAGGTGCCAGGAGAGCGTGTCCTCTGCTGTCAGCGTCGTTTGTCTGCGGACGCTTCACTGAAGCAAAAAGTGGGACTACCGAGAAAAGTCGCACCGCAGTCAACCCGAGGTCCCACCTGACGGAGGCTGGGCACACTCAGGTGAGCGCGCGGAGCTGCGGCCGTTGATTTGGCGACATCTAGCGGTGGAACGAGGAATAACGAGCTAATAGCATGGAGCAGACTGGGGAGAAACTGGAACTTAATTTTCCCACGGTTAGTTTACGTTTCAGGTATTTACGTCTGCATTTTTTATTCATGAAGACTACTTAAAGAAACTGTAGATAAAAGCTTGCGTGGTGAATAGAGGTGGTCACACCAAATGTTGACTTTCAAGCTCGTTAGAGCTGTACACACGCATGTATGTTTGCACACGTTTCCAGCAAAACATAAAGAAACGAAGGGTGGCTCAAGACTTTTGCACAATACTGTAATAATACAAGAAAATTTTCTTTGTCCTTCTTTAACCTTTTGGATATTCTTGAAAATATCCAAAGTTACTAGCATGAAATTTTGTATTTTAATAATATTATATAATAAAAAAATTATACCTTATTACTTAAAGATGTTCACATCTTTCAGATCACCTCCTTCATTAAATCCATATTCACATGTCTGAGTGTGTGTTTGTTTCCACTTGTCTGCGAGGAGTGTGATAGGCAGTATGCAAAACACCTCAAACAAATACTGTTACATAAACCATGCAAACTTGGTCAGCTGAGCTGAGTCCTGGAGGAAGATATTAATTGAAAAGCATGCATGGTCCTGCTAATGTTGACACCTTTGCCTGTAAGGTAGTCTGGGGTACACTTGTGGAAAGTTATTGCTCAGCTCAGCTTTCCACCATGATGTCACTACCTACTTAAACACACATTGAAACAGGTTGTGAAAAAGGGTAAATATAGCTCTCTGTGGCACCCGGGCTGGTCCGGACATGCGCTAACTGCCACATCCAGAGCACACTGAGTCTGCTTCCAGCACTGACACAGTTTGTGAGCCCATGAGAGAGTCTTAGATAGAGTTTCTCCCAGGCCTCCAGTGTTATTAATAAACACAAAGTGTGCCTCTGTTTTCCTGGAGACAGACACTGCAGACCTCTTCCTAACAGAAAACCGTGCTAACACAGTAACTGCCTGAACATTTAGTCGGACTGCCAGTCAACGTAAGTACACATCTATGTTAATAAAAACTGTTTCTTTAATTATTTGACAGGTTGAAAGGTTCTGTAGTGTGAAGCTTTAGGACAGGCCTCTCAACTTTAACAGCTATCAGAATGATTGATGTGTTTGCCTTTACAGTTCATTCCTCTGTCATATAAAACAATCTGTAAAGGAATAAGTGTTTTGAAAACCACAGTCTTACCAGGTGCTGTTTTTAATGGCTCTCGCCTTGTTTTCTTAGATTCTCTCATGGATGATCAAAGCTCAGTACAGGATGGAAACTCCATGTTATCTACTGATGACTCACATGTGCAGCTGAGACTTTCTGAAGATATCTCACCGAGCAACCGCACAGACTCTGAAACACTAGGTAGATTTGCTCAAGATCCTATTCTACGCTCGGAACAGGTGGACATGGAGAGCTTGGGTGAACTCTTTGAGCACTGCATACAGCGAGTATCCCATCTAGAGAGGCAAAGAGATGTGCTGATACAGGAGCTTCTGGTTCTGCAGGAACCTATGCAGCAAGTTGTGGGGCACCTGAGACCGAAGCTGGAGGGAACACGCAGGCTTCTCGCTCTGGCTCAGCTGGATTATGTTGCGGTTTGTGAGGATGTGCAACAGGTAAAGAGGAAACTGTTCACCACAGCCAGAGACTGCATCCAGAGCCAGGTGAAGCTAGCCGAGCAGGAGTACGAGGTGGCTCAGTCTGCTGTTACTCAGGTAGAAACCACAGGCTTTACATTTAATGATTTACTTCTGTAGTGTAGGTTTGCTTAGTATAGCAACATCATATAAAACTTGGGGACATCATGGCTGCAGCTTGTTTATGGTTTGATTTTCAGTTATTTGAGTATCATGAGTATGAGTTCTTGTTGTTTTATTTCTAGCTACTGTTTGCACCCTATAGAGAAATTAGCATTCAGATAAATTCATGTACCCAACTAAGCTACTGGGTAGTTTCCATTTCCACTCTCTTGCTATATGGGATCCTTTTATTTGCTGAATGTTTTTACCCACAGGTAAAAAATAGCCTCCATTATCAAATTTAATACTTTTCATTCTTATTTTACATCTCTTCATAGGAAGAACTCAAGGCTCAAATTCAAAGTCTGACCCAGGAGTTGGTGCAGCTGGAGGACGCCCACCAGAACCAGCTCAATTCCCTCCGTGATCAGGCCACTAAGCCTTGCAGGCCCAGGGCCATGAGTGACATCAGCCAGTGTCGCCAGGCCTCCATCAGACTGCAGCGAAGGCTCAGTGGCAGTGTGAAGATGTTGGAAGGCTGGTACGAGCCTCGCCTCATGGTTCTGCTGAAGAGAAGGCAGGTTGGGGAGGAAGCTTTGAGAAAAACCAGGGAGCAGGCAGTGGACCTGAGAACCGGGCTGAAGCCTCTGAGAGAGGAGATACAGAGGCTGGAGGTGCAGAGATCATGTCTGGAACAGAGGATCACTCTTTTGGAGACAGAGCGGCAGGAGAGCACTGCACAACATAAGGTACAAGAGAGGTTGGATAGAACAGATCTTCAGTAAAACTAGATGACAGTATGTTTTTATTTTATGCAGGAGACTGTGGAGAAACTAAGAAAGACTCTGAGAGAACTAGAAGTGGAGTTTGAAGTTCAGAGAAAATCGAAGAAAGGCTTGGAAGATCTTAAAGATGGCCTTTTAGCAGAGCTGACATTTCTGAGGTGGGTTTATCCCAATCATTTCTGCTTTAACTTAGTAAAAGTCAAGATAATAAATGAATAATAAACTTATTTTCTTATAGGGGCTGTGAACTCAGTGACATTACAGAGGAAGAGTCATAATTTTCAATTTCCAGAGGTTCCTCATCAGACATGAGACCAAATCACAACGCTGACATTACATGTTTGAAAATGCGGTCTACTTAATGAAACGTCTTGTTGCTCGCTCACATCCGACTTAACATCTAAAGTGTTGTGCCAAGAAAACAAAGCAAACAGCTTTACTGTAAATATTTTTATATGAATATACTTAAGTACACAAAAGATCAGATGCAGAGAAAATGCAGAGAAAAAAAACACATACAAGTGACAACACAATTTGGGGGAATTTCTTACTACAAATACCAGGCAAATTAAAAGGATCAACCTACAGTATGTACAATAACATTTAAAAATGGATCTTCCACAGAAATGTTTCTGCTCAACTAACCAAGATGGAAGAAATAAAACCAACAAAATGCACACTTAGGTGATCATAAACATGTCTGTGGTTTCATCACGAGTCAGATTTCAGTTCGAAAAACTAAAAAGATCTAAAAACCTGATCATTAGAGACCTTTTCTTAAACATGTCACGTGATGACATGGCAGCATTTTATTCTTTTATTTTCTACAAAACACTGCTGCTCAAAATGTATTTTAAAAAGACTGCTTTTTCACCCAGTGCTGGTAAACGGATCCATTTTTAATGAGCAGGTCAAAAGAAGAAGACACGTGGAGACCGGACTCATGCCTGGACTTCTGAATCTGCGGCACCTTCTGGGTCCTCGTCATTGTAGATATTTTCAGCCTGCAGATAATTGCCAAAAAAAATAAAAGATTTTTAATGTAACTGCTCTTCTATGTTATAATAATAAATGCACTTTACTATTCAAATCCTTGCTGTGTTGTAACTGATCGAGTTTTCTTAACAAAGCCTTTACCATCTGCCACACTTGCATGATGTTGTCCTCTGATACTGAACAGATGACCCACGGCTCGTTGGGGTTCCAAGAGAAGTCTGAGATCTTAGCTGTGTGTCCTCCGTGGATGAACTGAAACGAAATGAAGCAGAAAGATTTAGCACAATGATCAAGATTTAGCTTAAAAAATAAAACAAAGCCAATGTTTGAAAGCAACACTACAGTATTTCCTACACAAAGACAAAGGCATGCTCTTCCAGTGTGGTGGTACCTTATTAACAGACCAACCAAGTCACTGTTAAGGCAGTGACCACTGCCTCTCTAGAAAAATCATGTAGCTTGCTGGACTCCCAACTCTATTGTCATGGATTGCATTTGGTGACAGTAGTCCTTGTACTGCTCTACAGAGCCGCTGCAAGCTGCAGGGTCACTAACTACAAACTGCAGCAGGTGGAGAAGTTCGTGTGCCAGTAGACATTTCTCAGGCTGCTGAGCAGAACAATGACTATCATCACCAGCTGCAGTCCATGCATTGGTGGAGCTATAGTCCATCTGCTGGACAAGACTCTTACTGGAGAGTGTGGGTGCATAGAGCCTCTGACGTCACCACAAATATGCTCATTTTGTTGAGAAAAACTGCATCATCACCACCGCTCATTGTCACAACTCACCAGCAGCTCAGGAGGGCCATCCTCAGCATCCTCTGGTGACTGCTCCTCTCCAATCTTACTGAGGTCCCAGACGTTGAGCCGCCTGTCGGTGCCGCTGGAGGCCAGGATGGTTTCGTTATGAGGAGACCACTGAACCTGTTGGAAAAAGATGTGGATTTGAAACCTCTGCAATTAAGTTCCCCCTTGCAGTACTTTGGTGAATATAATTGTAAACATTATATCTATACAAAGAATTAAATATTCAACCCTAAATTCCAAGGGTACAAGCAAGTGTACAACCAAAAGCTTTAAACAATTCACCATCACATATTTTCAGAAGTTACTACAAAGTCCTACAATCCTTTTTCTCAAAAATGTTTTTTCCCCAAAGTTTAACATTTTTAACTCCTGCATCAGACAACACTGTTTTCCACCAGTTCACCTCATTGTATTGACTTTGTATGCAACTGTAACTGCAAAAGCAAACAGCTTCCTGACAGTTTGTCTTTTTGTTAACTTAATTATACCATAAATAGCAATTGCATTTCATCTTTTGTAGCCAAAAGCTAGGTAATCACCAGACACATATTTCAGCCTAAATAGCCTCACTCCACAATGCAGTTAGTGAGCTGAAACATTCAAGCCGAAGTTTGCACAACAACAACTACAGATTTATTGCGAGGAAGTTCACTTCTTACCTGGAAGATCTCGTCCTTGTGGGATTCAAACGAGTGAAGCTTCAGCTTCAGGTTCCTCAAGTCCCAAAGAGCCACAGTCTGCAAGTAAAAGGAGGCCGATTCAGTACAGTATCAAGATGCTATTCACTGTAACTGTCTGAAAGAAAGACGCCTCACCTTATCTGCAGAGCCAGTGGCAAGAATGAACTCGCTGTAAGGATTGAAAGACAGGCAGTTGACCTCAGCAGTGTGGGCGTCCACTGCATGGCTGGGCTTGGAGGTGTTGTTGGACCGCGTGTCCCAACTGTTCCAAAAACAGACAAAAGCATCAGTGTCAGGAAGAAATGTGAAACTGAACAACAACTTTGTTTTCGATGAGTCATCGCTGAGGCTGCTTACATCATGAGTTTCTGGTCATCTGCCACAGATCCAAAGAGCGATTCATGAAGAAGGTGCCATGAGACGTCCTCCACCACAGCAGTGTGGCCTGTGAAGATAGTCTTAGCATCCACAATCTTCCCCTCTTTGGGAACTGTGCTGATATCCCACAGGCATATAGTCTGCAAAGAGCACAGACGAATGTTAAAAAAAGAAAAAAAAGAAGTAACAAATGATTTGTAATGTGATAGAAGACAAAAAAGCATTTTAACAAGAATAAGGTAGGCATGTCAAGACAGGTTTCTTACATGGTCATCAGAAGCACTAAGGAGACAGCCACTAAGGTTTGGGTTCCATGAGAGGCCATAGCCCTCCTTCTGGTGGCCCCTCAGACGGAGATCTGGGGTGCATTCTCCAGAAGGGTCTTTAACAAAAATAATGTCAGTGTTAAAAAGCCTGTAGAGCTTCAAATGTAGCGACACATGATATACAGTTATGCAAGAAAAAGTGTTCTTTCTGCAAACCTACCCGGCTTGGAGGGGTGCTTTGTGTAATCAAAGACTAGCACATCACTGGTGGGGGTCTTGGTGGCAATGATACAAGGATTCTGAGGCATGTATCGGGCTCTGTTCACTTCTCCTTCATGGTTGATCTTGATCTCAATCTCTATTTTCCCACTAACAGATCCAAAACCTCCAAACTCTGAAATAAAAAGACAACAGATACATGAAGCTCTTCCATTCCATGAAGCAGGTTTTAGGGTGACCTATGCACCAGGGATTTTTATGTATTTTTTAGACAAAAAAATGCAACCCTTAAGTTACATAGTGTGTCTTTTATGCCCAATGTTCCTGTTAACCAGTTTTGCTCTTAATAAATGTTTAATAAACATATTACAGAACTTTAAAAAAGCGATTTAAAAAGTACGTAACCTACTATTCTACTTGTTCAGCTGACATTCACTATTGCCCTTGCTTCGCTGAATGAGGTTAAATTTGATTCATGCTGTTATACATACGTTACTTCCTTTTCCTTCCTCTTGTGAGCAGAGCAGCCCATAGCCAACAATGTTGTTCTTTCTGCACCATCACACAATTATCAATAAGCTATATAGGAGTTGGATAGCGCTACATTAACAATGTGCAAAATTAAAAGACTACTGAAATGTCCTCCAAACTCTCTGCATTCACCAGGTCTAACAACATTTTCTGGTGGAAGTGTACTAGTATTACTGTGCTAAAGTTGGATTAGATCAATTAAATCAATATCATCCAAAACCAGCTTAGGCATGTGAATTAGTCTGTTTATAAGTGTTATTGGCATATTTTGCATGTAAAGATCCCTTGAGAACACTATGAAACTATAAGTTATTCTATGACCTCTTACTGGTGGTGCTCTTGTAACATAGGTTCTCAGTGGACTTTTTATGCTCTCACCTCCTTTCTCGCTGTCATAGTGTGAAGCATCAAACTGCGCATCATCATTCGGCAGCTGAACGCTGGCAATTACGAGGTGATTCTGCTCATCAGAAGTATGGGTCCCCAGAACCAGCCTGTGCACACTGTAGTCCTTTCCCTCTGGTCTGTGGACATATCACATGACATTTACCTGCTATCTGCTACAATCTCTTGTTGTGACTTGGAGCCTGAAAAGGTGTTGCAGAACTCCCATTTACCTGGTGACATCTGGGAGCCACTGAGCAGTGAGGCTTGGCCACTCCAGAGCATGGGTCATGACCAGATCATAGAGGAAAGGGGTGTTCTTCTTCCAAATCTTATACTCCTCGTTGATCACCCTTTCCTCCACAGCGTCATCAAAAGCCGCTGCAACAGTAACATTTAACAAAAAGCTACGTTACAGTCAAATTTACAAACATATGCAGCAGCTACTTGAGGAAATCTTTTCCTTCCAAGCGTTTTAGTTGATTTTATCAATAAAGTAACAGTAGCACACAATGCTAGAGCAGCTGTCGCCCATATAAATAAATAATACAGTCTTTCTGAAGATTATTATAGTGGGGAAGTATATCTGACTGCACTGGTTTAAAACCCTTTTACCGGCGCGTTAGCAGCTAATGCTAACATCAGCTAACAGCTAGCTGAGTGCTTTCTAACAATGAAAGGTGATGCTGGCTGGCGCGCCAACCACCGCCGCTACATCCTGATTCGCATTTTCTGTCACTCTTGACAGCACACACATATAAATAACGTTCTCGTTAAAAAACGTAGACGTCCTTACCGTCTTTATCAGCCATTGCGTGGTTATAATAACGCTACTAATGACAAAAAGAAGTATTTTTTAGAGAGAGCGCTCAGAAGACAGCACGACGGCTCGCAATGGCGCCAACTCCATAGAACGCGTCTAGCCAATCAGAGTCGACGACAAAACCGACAGGAAGTCGTTACGCGACACATTACTACATCCGGTGCTGTGCCAAAAAAATGTAACTTCCGGTATTTGCAAACGATAACGATACTACTAATAGTAGGTAGTATTTACGCCGTTTTGAATAAGTTGGCCATTTTTTCATGACAGCTGAATGCCCTGTTTTGCAAGGAGGAGCTCTATAACATATACATAAGCGTCTATGCTTATGTATAGAGGTTCCTATTGCTAGTAATTTTTTACAATTTATTATTTGTTTAATTATTTCTGTTAATATATCCATTGTATAACAATGAAAAAAGAGAGCGAAGAAAAAATAAGTGTTCTTCGTCTTTCACGGAAGCAGTACGGTGAGTCAAGCCTGCCCGGAAATTCAAGAAGAACACACGGACATGGTCTAGATAAACGTCTGCCTTTTTCAACAAGCTTCAATCTACAATGGACGATCGTGTGTTAGACTTGACAGAGGCACAAGAAGCTGTCAAATCCAAATACCCGCCGATCAACAAGAAATATGAATGTAAGTGCGAAGTTATGATACTTAAAGTCGGAGCACCAACCACGATGCTGGTTTCAATGGAAGTCTAAATTTCCGAGTTGTCAATATTTTAAGCTGGACCGCCCCCTCATGTCACCACCAACAATCACCCCGACTATAACTGGGCTCTGTTCATAAACGTGTGGGAGCGGTGCTTTTGAACGAAAAAACAAACAAACAAACTGTGACGTATTGTTCTCAAGGCGAAAAACAAATCCTGATTTTTCTTCCCGATCGTACTTTGAGTTCCAGTTGAAAATTCCACGTGGGAAATGAAAACTCCGACTTCAAATGCCAATAGTTGGTTACCATTACTTGATTTATCAAAACAACGTCACAGAAAGTCTAGTTTCTAAAGTCTAGTTTAATTTTGATTTCAGTGAGCTAAAAGGATTGTTCGTGTTAAATTTTGTCTCAAAATTCAAATTCAAAAAGGATCTTTAATATGTCTAGTTTTTTTACATTTGTGTGAAAGAGATAATATTTTTAACGAGACTATACAGTCCTGTGAAAAATGTAGTACAACCTTACTCTTTCAGGTAAGCAGGAGGCAGGTGCTGTTAATCAAATGCACCTGATTAACTGATCACCAACAAGTGTGGCCACTTATAAACAAAAAAGCAGGTTTGCCAACTTCCTATTTATGTCTCCTGTACTGTGTGACAGGTTTCTATTTATATATTTGTTCTTGTTAAAATCTCACATCTGAGAACTAATGTGCACAATAGTGATCCACCCAGTTCATCTATGTCAGTGTTGTATGGATGTTGCCAGTCTACTTTAAACGTGCAATTATGCGTTCTTCATGTCATGTCAAGAAAACTAATCTTGAGGCTACTAACCCATCAAGTTTTACACCAATCTCTTGTTTTTCTTTTGTTGTCTCTTTTTACAACTGTTGTTGTTGTTATACTATTTTAACATGTTCAAAATAAAGGTACATACAAATACAAACCTGTGGTGTACCTCAAGGCTCCATCATGGGTCTAATTCTGTAGTTTTAAAGAGCTACCTAAAAAAAAAAAAAAAGTTAATTAAGTAGTTCTTTAAAATAAATACCTAGAGACATTTCAGGATTGCTGCCACTGGCAAGACTTTCTTAGGACTTTAATTCAGTCAACTCATGATATTGCCTAATTTTTTTTTTAATCGTTTCAGACCTGGATCACACAGCAGATGTACAGTGAGTACCTTTTTGGTATAGTAAAACCATGTTCCTCTGTTTTTTCTTAGACTTTAACAAAAAAAAAAACAACAACTTCTTCTTTTTCTTTTCCAAGAATTCACTCTTGGGGAGACTCTTTGGAGGAAGCCTTTGAGCAGTGTGCCATGGGCATGTTCGGCTACATGACGGACACAGAGACGGTGGAACCGATAGATACAGTTGAAGTGGAATCGGAGGGTGAGAGTCTGTCACCAAGATTTCAACCGACTCCAGTTGTACCTGCTTTCTATCTGTGTCAGTCTGGCTGTTTGCAGAGCAGATCAGCTAAAGTCTGTGTGTATGTTTTTGTTCCTAAAAGGTGAAGACATGGAGTCGCTTCTCTTCCACTTCCTAGATGATTGGTTATACAAGTTTAGTGCAGATCTTTTCTTTATTCCCAGGGTGAGTATCTTGGTCACTTGTGTATTACTTAACATGTACTTTAAAGTTCGTTACATTGATTGCATATCTGTTTTTGTTTGCAATAGCATTTGAGACCTGAGCCTTTATAAAATAGATCAGTTTTGATATAAATTATGACTTAAATGGGTAAGTATAAAATCTTTCCTTGACACGGAAAAATAATATAGACTCCATAGATTTCTATGAAAGCAGGACAGAAAGCAACATGTATTGTTATCTTAACCATCTCCAAATTCTATGTCAAGCCACATTTTTATAAGCCCAATGAAACAGATCCATAAGTATTTTGACCCTGTTTTTGTCATTTTGCCTCTATACACTCCCCGAAGCAATTTTAGTTTTAATTCAAGGGTTTAACAGAAATATGGCATCACTATTCAAGAATTATATACACAGTCGCTTATTTTCAGATTCTCCAAAGTAATTGGACAATTGATTTCCAAGCTGTTTCGTGGCCTGTTTAGGCCTTTTTCCTGATTACTTCAAGACAAAATGACTACAATGGTCTGGATTTGATTATATGAGTTTATTTGTATAGCTTTGTACTGGAGCTCTCAATGTGAGGTCCAAAGAGTGGTCGACGCATGTGAAGGAAGCCATCTTAGTCTGGAAAATAAAATAAAATAAACCTAAAAAGGAAATGGAAAAAAACTTTAGTAAGTGGTCAAATCAACAATGTGGTGCATTCTGTAAAATAATGAATGAATCATCTGGCCAGCTCAGCAACATCAAAAGCCTTGAAAGACCACAGAAGACGACTAAAGTTGATGATTGAAGAAATCTTTCCTGGATTAAGAAAAACCACTTCACAACACATAGAGAATTCAAGGACACTGTCGAGGAGGTAGGCGTGCCGTTGTCAAGGTCTGCAATCAAAAGACAACTTCATGAATGGAAACAGAGGATTTACAGCAAGGTGGAAACCACTGGTTACACTCAGCAACAAGGACATCAGATTAGAACATAAAAGAAAACAAAGAGCCTGCCCACAAAAGTAAGGAGACAGACTGAGGCCTGGAGTTGCCCACCCCTGCTCTAGTTAGTACTGGTGGTGTGGCTGCTGATAGAAACGGCTGGATGAATTCTTAGTGTGCAGGGCCGTACACCTTGCTCAGACTCAGTCAGATTCTGCATTTCACAGTGCAAATTGAGAGTTTCTTAAGGAAACAGAAATGGGATATTCTTCAATGGCCACGTCAGTAACCAGCTGAGCATGCTTTTCAGTTACTGAATATAAAATTGAAGGCAGAGAGACCCACAAACAAGCAGCAATTTAATTTAATTTTAGTTTATCCAATTACATTTGAGCCTCTGACAATGGAAGACTGTGGATAAAAATGTAATGTCTGTAATTCCTAATGTTGTACTTTGGTTAAACTCCTTAATATTAAAGCTGAAAGTCTGCACTTAAATCAGATCATGATTGTTTAGTTTTAAATGTGGTGGTGAACTTACCCAAAACAACTGATAATATTATCTTTTTTTTTCTTTTTCTTCTTTTTTTTATATAATTATCATCTCTAAATATTATAGGCTGCAAGTAATTTTGCTACTGTTCCTTATTTACGTTACAGTTATGAAGTTGCTACATTTAGGATGTGCTAACAATTGTGTCATATCTGTTCATCAGGAGGTCAAAGTTTTACATATTGACAGAATGCGTTTCAAGATTCGCTCCATTGGGTAAGTTTGGGGTCCTCCTCAATAACACTGAAGTTATCTTGATATTTATTTTAAAAAAGTATTACGTACAATTCAAACCCGAGCTAATGTGGAACAACTTTGTAATTTGTTTTTAAGGCAAAGGTCAAACTTGATCTCATTATTTCTCAGATTATCATGAAAAGGACATGCAAAAAAGTTTCAAGTCCGTCATCCGTTCATACAGTCTGTTTGTAATTTTAAAATGTTCCATATTTTTCCAGTATACAAAAAGATCACTGGGTTTAAACGGGTTGGGTTTGGGGGGAAAAATAGTTTATCAGAGATAGAAAATTCAGCTTTACTGTCTCTCTGTATTTTTCTCTTTAATTTACTTTCTTTGCTTTATTTTTCTTTGGTTTATGAAAGGTGGGGCGAAGAATTTTCTCTGGAAAAGCACCCACAGGTAAGCCAGACAAAGAAGTAAAATGACACGCATTAGAAGAAATACATAAAA